GCTGGGCAACCACAGTGAACCCTCTCTAGCTAAAAATACAAAATCAGATCAGGTAGTGGCTGGTGCTGTAAGTGCCCAGTTACTCGGGAGGGCATGAGGCTGGAGAATTCGCTTGAACCGGAGGCAAGAGGTTTTGCAGTGAGCTAAGATCCTGTCACTGTGACCCAGCCTGGGCAACCGAGAACAGACCCATCTCAAAAAAAAAAAAAAAAAAGCAAGCAAGAAAGAAAAACAGCTAACGAACTAAAATGCATGGGCTGGACTTGAACCCCTGGGTGATGGGCTGCTCTGTGCAGCAACCACCATGGCAACCATTACCTACCCGAACGAACCATTCCACATCTGCACCGCCACCCCTGAACTTTAATATTATAAAAAAATCAAAAAAAAAGAGTAACCCCAAGTTAAAAGAAAAGTGTGTTACCAAACTATGTAGCAGTAAAATATATAGTAAAAGAAAACCTGACCATCCATATATACTGTTATTTATTTATTCATGAGACAAGTCTCGCTCCTGTGCGCCCAGGCTGGGTCTGAGTGCGCGACATCTGCTCACTGCACGTACCGCTCCCGGGGTTCACGCCATTCTCCCTGCCTCAGCCTCCGGAGATAGCGTGGACCTACAGGCGCCTGCCATCATACCCGGCTTACATTTTTGGGAGTTGCCCAGGCCGGTCTCGAACTCCTGACCTCGTGATCCACCCGCCTAGGCCTCCCAAAATGTGGGATTACAAGCGTGAACCAATGAATGCCTGGCCGCATTAGCTCTTTTCCATGATGCTCTCCTCCGCCCCTACCCCCCACCCCCCACTCTCCACACACATAACTTTTTATGTAATTAATAGAGACCTGGTCTTGCCATGTTGCCCAGGCTGGTCTCGAACTCCTGGCCTCAAACACTCCTTCTGCCTCATCCCAAAGTGTTAGGATCACAGGTGTGAGCCACTGTGCCCAGCCCACATAACTTTATGACTGTTTTTCGTTGGTTTTTTTTTTGAGACAGAGTCCAGCTCTGTCACCCAGGCTGGACTGCAGTGCCACGATCTTGGCTCCCTGCAGCCTCTCCCTCCCGGTTCAAGCAGTTCTCCTGCCTCAGCCTCCTGAGTAGCTGGGATTACAGGCGCCTGCCACCATACTCAGCTAATTTTTGTATTTTTAATAGAAACGGGTTTTCACCATGTTGGCCAGGGGTCTCAAACTCCTGACCTCTAGTGATCTGCCCGCCATGGCCTCCCAAAGTGCTGGATTACAGGCGTCAGCCACTGCACCTGGCCGTGATGACTGTGTTTACTTTGCCAATTATTTTTTTTAAAAAATCATTATCTCTTTATTTCCCTTATTCTTTTTGAGCTTAAATTCCATCTTCCTGGTAGAAACGTTGCCACTCTTGCTTTTTTTTTTTTTTTTTACATTTTTTGTCCATCCCTTTATTTTTTTTTTTTGAGACGGAGTCTGGCTCTGTCGCCCAGGCTGGAGTGCAGTGGCGCGATCTCGGCTCACTGCAAGCTCTGCCTCCCGGGTTCACGCCATTCTCCTGCCTCAGCCTCTCGAGTAGCTGGGACTACAGGCCCCCGCCACCACGCCCAGCTAATTTTTTGTATTTTTAGTGGAGACGGGGTTTCATCGTGTTAGCCAGGATGCCTGACCTGGTGATCTGCCCGTCTCGGCCTCCCAAAATGCTGGGATTACAGGCGTGAGCCACCGCGCCCGGCCCGGCCCTGTATTTTCAGCCTTTTAACGCATCGTCATTTCCAGGTGTTTTTATGAAGCCGCGTGCCGCTGGGTTTCGCTTCCCCCCCGCCTGAGCAGCCTCTGGCTTTGTTGGGAGGTTGGGTGTTCCTGGTGCCCTCCCTGGCTCTGGTGTGTTGAGTCCATTTTACTTTGTGGCCTCTTTTCCTTCCACTCTGTCTTGCTGGTTTGCTGAAACCGTAAGTCCAGTTTTTCTCCTTGTGATTTTTGGGAATTCTGTCTTCCATCCATTAATGGCTTTTTTTCCTTGGAACACGTAGTCAGACATGCTTCTCCGTTAATATCAGAAAGCGCAACGCCGGCACTTTCCCCCGCCAGATTCTTTCTCCTTCCCGGGAAGTGTTTTTAGTCACTGTCAAAGCCAGGCTAAGGCCTCAGCAGCCTCCCTGCAGCCTCCCTCCAGCTCACTCCGGCCTCCTTCCAGCCTCACTCCAGCTCCCTTTGAGAGCTGCTGCTCTCAGCTCTCCCAGCAGGGCCCAGCTCTGAATCCCGCCCCACCCCCAGTCCTTTGCCTTCCCAGATCCTTTGGCAGGCTTGGGATAGGTGTGAGAAGGGTCTCTCTTTCCATTGGTTGGGAAGCGCCAGCTTGAGTATAGGAGGACGGGTGAGGCCTCGAGTGTGATGATGCTCCCAGAAGCGCTCCTGTGGGGGCGTGGGGGCGCGGGGGCGTGGGGGCGAGGTTCACGCATGTTGACTAGGATTGCCCTACAGCTCGTACACCCCGGGGTGGTGGTTTTGTTTGTGGTGAGTGAGTCTCAGATTGACCTGTGCTGTAGCGAGCTGGGAAGGACTTGGTGGGGAAGAAAGCCTTGGAAGCAAAACTCATAGTTCGGCAGCACCACGTCCAGCCCTGCGCACCCTCTGCCACCCAGCAGCTCACTTTCAGAGAACAGGGTTCAGGTAACACAAACCTCACAGCTCAGCGACACCGTGCCTAGCCCTGCGTGCCCTCTGCCACCCGCAGCTCACTTTCAGAGAACAGGGTTCAGGTAATACTCATCAGCTCTTGGAAAACCCCTTCCCATAAGGAGATGCATGAGGAAAAGATCTGGGCAGGTGGTCCACCGTGTGGACTGAGGGTGGGTTTGCTGAGCTGAGCCATGCAGGGAAGCTGGGAGAGTTATTTTGAGGCACTCCCTTCTGAGGGCATCTCCTGAGACATGGACACCACACCAAGGGCTGTCCTGTACCTCCTCTACCCCACACCCCTCAGCTGCGAGATACCCTAGAGCTCGAGAAGGGAGAGAAGGTGCTAGCAGCTGCATTTAAAGAACATGCCACACACAGAGCAGTGCATCTCCCAGCCCTTGCCAAGCTGGGAGTTTCTGTTGAGTGAGTTGCAATGTGGTTTTGGAGTCGTATCAGTTACCTACTGTGAATTTTTTTTTAATATTTTCTTAAGTGAAGGTTTGATTCCTCTCTCACCTGGTCCTTCTTGGTCCTGTTTAGTGAGTGTAGTGTGTTCTTACTGCTACCGTGGGGTGCTCTCCATCAGCCCACAGGAGTCTGGGAGGAGGAGAGCTGGAGTCTGCAGAAGGGTCACTCCAGTGGCTCACGGGCCCATCTGTGCCCTGGGGCACTCTCAGAGCCAGATCTGGACATCCTGCCGCGCAGTAACACTCATGTGCTTTTGTTTGGGACTTGGGAAGACCAGCCGCAGCGCCTTCCAGTGCCTGCAGAAATTCCAGCAGCGGAACAAAGCTCTGAAACGCAAGGAGTGGACGGAGGAGGAGGAC